TATATATATATATATATATATATATATAGAAAAGAGAATTGGTCCTTTCACTGATCCCTGTGGTACTCCATAGGTAACCTTTGAGCATGAGGAAGATTAGTCATTAACGTAAACAAACTGAAATCGATCAGATGGATAAGATTTAAACCAGTCTAGTGCTGTTCCTTTAATTCCAACATAATATTCAAGTCTTTCTGAAAGACTATTATGGTCAACTGTATCAAATGCAGCACTCAGATCCAATAGGACAAGCACAGATACAAGTCCATTATCTGAGGCCATGAGAATATCTTTAGTGACTTTCATCAGAGCTGTTTCAGTGATATGATGAGCTCTAAAGCCAGACTGAAACTGTTCAAAAAGTTAATTATGGTGTAAGTGATCGCACACTTGTTTGACAACTACTTTCTCAAGAATTTTAGATCAGAAAGGAAGATTGGATATAGGTCTATAATTAACCAAGTCATCTGGGTCAAGAGACAGTTTCTTAAGCAAAGGTTTAATTCCAGCAACCTGGTTTATCTCTTTAGAAACAAGCTGACCAAACAGTGAACCTTGGTTTAATCAGAAGGTTTTACAACCAGAAAAATGTGGAGCTGGAAAACTTTCTTAGACAAATTTCTCCTCTCATCATCTGTGAATTTGATCTATTTTTTAAAATAAAATGAGTTAATCCTGTGAGTGGTTTGATGGATTCATATTTAGAGAAGATGCTTTTTCTTGCTTTTATTTTTATTTCTATTCTGATATGTGTAATCATTTGGATATTATTATTTATGCTATGATCAGCTGCAGGCGATTATCAGATTGTATTTTGTTTAGATGTTGCCCTCCTCTGCTCCTCCATTCAGGCTGGAAGGCTGCAGTTTGTCTCCCAGCAGCTGTGCTTCTCTGGTCTCCGCTCTCAAGTCTAACCCCTCCCATCTGAAAGAGTTGGACCTCAGAGGAAACAACCTAAAGGATGCAGATGTTCAGCAGCTGCTGGCTTTGCTGCAGAGTCCAGACTCCAACCTGGAGCTCCTGGAGTGAGTAGATGCTGCTGCTTAAGATTAGCTTCACCAAGATGGAGGGTGGTCTTCTTGCCATGTTTTAAACTAAAATTAAACTCCATAGAATAATTTAGATGTAATGTAGCTAGATCAATCAATCTATCTG